TTATTTCATGCACATCCCTTGGCAAAGTTCATGAATTATTAATTTATGCCAATGAGGCATATCTGTCTACAAATCCTGTTGTACAAAATCCCCATTATATACATACTTCAGGAATTATTTCATGTACATCCCTTGGCAAAGTTCATGAATTATTAATTCATGCAAATGAGGCATATCTGTCTGCCAATCATGTTGTACAAAATCCCCATTATATACATACTTCAGGAATTATTTCATGTACATCCCTTGGCAAAGTTCATGAATTATTAATTTATGCAAATGAGGCATATCTGTCTACAAATCCTGTTGTACAAAATCCCCATTATATACATACTTCATGAATTCTTTCATGTACATCCTTGGCAATGTTAATGAATTATTAATTGATGCAAATGAGGCATATCTGGCTACAAATCCTGTTGCATAAAATCCTCATTATATACATTCTTCAGGAATTATTTCATGTACATACCTTGGCAATTTAATGAATTATTAATTTATGCAAATGAAGCATATCTGTCTACCAATCCTGTTGCACAAAATCTCCATTATATACATACTTCATGAATTCTTTCATGTACATCCTTGGCAATGTTAATGAATTATTAATTGATGCAAATGAGGCATATCTGGCTACAAATCCTGTTGCATAAAATCCTCATTATATACATTCTTCAGGAATTATTTCATGTACATACCTTGGCAATTTAATGAATTATTAATTTATGCAAATGAGGCATATCTGTCTACCAATCATGTTGTACGGAATCCCCATTGTATACATACTTCAGGAATTATTTCATGTACTTCCCTTGGCAAAGTTCATGAATTATTAAGTTATGCAAATGAGGCATATCTGTCTACCAATTATGTTGTACAAAATCCCCATTATATACATACTTCAGGAATTATTTCATGTACATCCCTTGGCAAAGTTCATGAATTATTAATATTCATGCAAATGAGGCATATCTGTCTACCGGTCTACCAATCATGTTGTACGGTGTCGCATACGACTTGTTTACCACTTCCGTGTGACTGAGAATGTTCTAGATTTTGTTTAGAAACTGGTTGAATAGGTAATAGAACACTGTAGGAGGCAATAGAAGGTAATGGAACATTCTAGAAATTGGCAGTAAGTTCCAGACTCATTATGTATGCTGACATAATGGTCTATTTATAGACAGTGTGGGTATATATAGGGGAGTTGTTCAGCACTGAGTTCAGATCGGAGATCTCGTTGAATTGTGTTGGAGTTTAAGTATCTAGTTATTAGAGGTTTGGAGTTTTACCGAGTTATTGTACTTGATGTTTGCAGAGTATAATAATACCAGTACCAGTTGAAACCTCATCTGTTGGCTCCGTGTTCGTATGTTATCATCGCCGCCAGGGAAGTCTTTATGTTACTGTTGCCATTTTGGTATTTGAACCATCACACATGTACTATACCAATTACGGTAATATTACGTTGCGTGTGACATACGGAATCCCCATTATAAACATACTTCAGGAATTCTTTCATGTACATCCCTTGGCAATGTTAATGTATTATTAATTTATGCAAATGAGTCATATCTGTCTACCAATCCTGTTACACGAAATCCCCATTATATACATACTTCAGGAATTCGTTCATGTACATACCTT